AGGATGGCTCCATCAGGTCCCCTGCTTCTCCTCCTGGGGCTGAGCTACAGACGTCATCGCTTCTCAAGCCCACCTCTCGCCCTGGGGCTCATGCAGAAAGAAATGACGGAGAGGAAGGCACAGTACCTCCGCAATGATGTCGCCGTTCTCTGCGTGGACTTGGGCGATGGCACCAATGTCCCGGATCACGCTCAGGACTTCATAGATCTGAGGAAGGAGTTGGGGTCAGAGACAGGGACCTCCAGCTTCCTGTTCACCAGCACAACCCTGTCCCCGACAGCCACAGGGGCCAGAAACAGCACCCATCTCCTCGGGGCTTCTACAAGCTGGTGTGTTTACAGACCCGGAGGGCCATGCTTCTGGCCGCGTGTGGCAGAGCGGAACCTCCAGTAATTAGCAGAGGCAGAGTAACCGAACAGGATGTGAACTGGGAGTAAGAAGCTCAGAGATGAGGCCAGGCTCTGCGCACACCCTCAGCCACGTGGCCCCTGGGCGTGCTGACTGCAGAGCCGATAGAACACAGTCCTGGTTCACATCCTCCCTAAAGGTGAAGTTAGAGCCAGGACTTGATCCACCAGCCATTTCCCCTGAAGCTAAGGGATGTGCATACACTCGAGGCAGCTTTCAAGACCACAGCCGTGGCCAAATGTACCGAATGCCAGTGAACTGCTCAGAAAAGCCCACGTTTCTTACCTGGGAATCCGTCAGCTGGAAGCGATCTTTGAAAGCCATGTACACGAGGAAGGAATTTACCCCTGGAGGACAGACAAAATAAACAGACAAAATGCATAAGTATAACAGGCCATCCAAATAATCTGGAAGGGAATAAAAAAGTTACAATATTATGTGTATGTGTATATATACAGTGTAGGCAAAAGTAGGTTCACAGTGGTGGGTATGGAAAAAGACATACAGGATATGATTATTACATTATTACAATAGCTTGTTAACTCTATGTATGCTGTACTCACAACTGGAAAACTACTTTTGCCACTCCACCCCCTGCACCCCCCACCTCATGCAGAGAGAAAGAGAGACAGATGGAGACACAGAGAGAATGATAATGCAAATGAGGCAAAATATAAACAACTGGTAAACCTGGGAATAAGGTGGGAAAGTTCTTTTTAGTATTCTTACAAATTTTCTCTAAGTTTAAAACTCTACCAAAATTAAAAGTTGCTGTTATTTGTACACCCATACACACAGCAGCATTATTCCAATACCAACGAGTGAAGAAACCCAAGTGTCCACTGACAGATGAATGGATAAACACAATGTGGCACAGCCATCTCATGGACTATTACTCAGGCTCAAGCGGGATAGTAAGAAGCTAGGACAACTCCTTGGCAAGTAAAGTGGGGACACTGACACACAGCTGAACAAACTGGCCGAGCAATTCCGAGCAGATACAGAAGGTCACTTTCTAAAGACAACACCTAGGTCTTAGTTGTATGTCAGCTCCAGGCCCAGAAAAGCAGCAAAACCAGGTGGGTGACACCAGGACCAGCTGCAATGACTAATGACCCCTGTCCTGGCACTGGCCAACCAGTGGAGGCCAGGACAGAGCACACCTGGAAAAGCTGATGAATATTTTATTGAGATCTTCCCCTAAGATCTGCCCTAAACCCTCAAAACAAAGGAGCCAGCCCGCCCCCTGGGAGTACCTTCCTCCTCCACCTCCCCACAGGCGTGCATCTCCTAAACTCTAAGAGTCCCCAAGAGATTTGCAACCAGGGGAGCAATGGGCAGTGGCAGCTCATCCCGGGTTAACCCCCTGAACCTGTCCCCAAGGCCCCCTTTTCTGTGGCTGCAGTGAGCTGATTGCAGCCCCACCTCAGCTCATTTCTTTCCTGTAACATTTTTAGAGAATCGAAGCAGCCCCGCATAGGCTCCCTCCTGTTGCTTCTTCTATTCTAAACCTTTCCTTGTTTCACTGTCCCCAGAGTTAATAAACATACTCTCACAATCACCTGGAGTCCTGTTGTGAAATCTTTTTTGCACAAAGTCAAGAACCCACACACTACCAGCGCCTGAGGCAGACCCGGTCTGGGCCGGTCCCTTTTCCGGTGACATTCTGACACATGCCACAAACATGGATCAACCCTGAGGGTATTATGCTCAGTCACAAAAAGACAAATACTGCAGGATTCCACTTAATGTCAAATTCATAGAGACAGGAAGTAGAATGGCAGAAAATGGGGGTTGCCAAGGGCTGGGGGGAGGGAGAATTGGGAATTATTGTTTAATGAGGACAGAGTTTCCATTTGGAAAGGTAAAAAGTTCCAGGGGAGGGTAGTGGGGATGGTTGCTCAACAATGTAAATGTACTTAATGCCACAAACAGTACATTTACCATGGTTAAGGTGGTAAATTTTATGTTACGCTGTGTTTTACCGCAATTAAAAGTTAATAAGTTTTCCCAACTGTTGTGACTTTAACAAGGCAATGAAATAGAAGACCTTATTGGTGAAGATCTATAATAAAAGTCTTTTCTGTGGTAAACAGACTGCCCTCCATGCTGACTTTAAGAAAAGGTCCTTGAGTGTGACAAGCATATGTTGCAGTTCTCATCCTGGTATTTTAGAGTTCTTGCCTCCCTAGTGCGAGTACAGATATCCCTGCCCAGATGGTAAACAACTGTATTGACAACCTCACAGCCTTGGAGCTTAACCCAGGGGTGCTGGCGACAGTGCTGTGAGCTGCCTAAATTCAAGGCTCAGGACATCTCAGCCCTCCTCTGTTGCCAGGCAACAGTTGTTATGGTAACTCTCTTGGTTGAGTTAGACTGGATTCATTTATAAGTATCAAAAGTTAAATCTTGGCATTCTCAAAAGTGAGAAAGATCAAGGGTTAGCTACTTCCTTTTATGCTGGGCCTTCATAGTAGAAAGAATCTTAGGATATCTAGTACAAAACCCTCCTGTGAGAGTTTTTTTTTTAAATTGAGATTCAGAAAATTTAAGTGATTTGCCCAAGGTCACACAGCTAATTTGTGGAAGAGCAAAGCAATAAACCCAAGATTCTAGATTTCCATTTTGAGCTTCTTCTACCATACCTCTGGATATCGGTAGGGCATCCAAGAGGATGTCTAGCAGTTTCCCTCCTGCTATTTTATTCACAGCTCATGGAACTTCTGAGCTTAGAAATCTCCAAACCCGAAAGCAATAGGTTCTTCCCCAACAGTTAAGATCCAATGAGGTCTACATGTGACCCAGGAGTCGAATCTAGTCTACAGCCAAGTTTAAGGGGTCCCTGTAAGACTATATAATTTGGCAACACCACCCAAAACCCCAAGCTTCCTGTGGATAACAGGGTCCCAGGGGCATTTTGAGGTAGTCAAGATCCCTCCAGCCTCCCTGGAAATCTTTCAGAACCCCATCCTTGGAATCCTGCTCCCCAAAATAGTCTTAGGGATCAACAGACCCCTCAGGTTGTCCCACAGCCTCCTCACCCTCAAGTCTGTCCTGGTTCTTCCGGATTTGCAGGAAGAAGCTGCTCAAGTCCTCTACCCCAGGTCCCAGGCACTCTCCTGCGACTGCTCAGAATCCTCACTGGCTCATCACTCACGTAGCCTCAACTCCCCAACCTGGCTTGGGCACATGGTTCCCTCAAACCAATAACATGCAAGCAGTTGTTACATAAGCGCAGGTCCCTGGAATAAGGCTCAGGTTCTCATATCAACGAAAGCTTCTTTGGCTGCCCTGGGTTTGGCCACCTCCAATCAGCATGAGCTGCAGCCAAAGCCCTGTCTCCTCAGAGGCACGGGGTGAGGCCCAAAAGGGATCTATTAAGTACCATTCACAGGGCTTGTCTCCACAGGGCTGTGCCAGTTCATGACCTGAGGGTGCTGGGTCAACACAACCTACCATGATCCTTCACCAGGGCCTCCATCTCCTCTTGGATGCCCTTGTGCCACTCGGTGATGTCCACGTGCAGAGAGTAGTCACAGCAGGACTTGCTGTCGGCCCATTCCCTCCACTGGTCGAAGGCAGCCAGCAGGCTTGTCCCAGGCTCTGGCACGACATGGTCAACTAGAAAAGAACAGATATTTGTCATCAACAAAAGCCTCCAGGGCCACAGGCCAACAGCTGTTTTCCCATGTCAACCCTGAACAAGCCTTCTTGGTTTCAAAGTCGAGATGGTGATCTCTACAATCAGCTTCTAAGAACCCACTTAAACCAGTTGACTACCCAAGAGGGAGAAAGCAGAAACTTGGCATGGCATGGTCAGTCCAGTGAAACCACGCATGAACTGCCCAGATCTGATTTCCCAGCTCAAAGCCCCTGAAAGGACACACCTTGGGCACATTTCTTGGACAATGAGTCATTATGGACAATGGCAGTGTCAAATGGCCAGCCCGAGCTGCCAAACCCTTCCTTGTGTTAATAGCTGCTTGTGAGATGCCCCCACCAGACAGCAAGGCACTTGAAGTTGCTGGACCCCAGCCACACAGACAGAGCCTTTTAAAAGATCCCCAGCATATCCACTCTCTCATCACCACTCGTATTTCTGCAGCATAATACCACTTTGTAAATTAAGGGAGAGCTTTCATCATAAGAGTTCAAAGTGTTTTAAAACTGTGGTCATTGTTATATTATTATTGAGCTCAGCTGATATGGAGACAGAGGACTCTGGAGTCAAGCTGACCTGAGGTTTTGGGTAAGCTACTTAACCTCCACTACCCCAGGTTTCTGTGCGGGTTTAAAATGGGGGTATTGCGTACCATACACATTTGCTGTGAAGATTAATTGAGACAGCGTATCAACCTTAAGTCACTCCCCTATTTAAATCTGCCAATGGCTTCCTCTTGCTCAGCGGTTCTCAATCTGTGGGTCGCGACTCCTTTGGGGGTCGAACGACCCTTTCACAGGGGTCGCCTAAGACCATCGGAAAACACATATATAATTACATATTGTTTTTGTGATTAATCACTATGCTTTATGTTCAATTTGAAACAATGAAATTGGGGATCACCACAACATGAGGAACTGTATTAAAGGGTCGTGGCATTAGGAAGGTTGAGAACCACTGCTCTTGCTCTTCAGATAAAGACTAAAGTCCCCAATCAGGTCTGCATGCTCCTGCCCAGCTCGGCCCATGACTGCCTCCCCCACATCGTCTTGGAGCATCGCCCCTTCCCACACTGTTCTCACTTCCTAAAATATCAGCTGCTCCCTTCTGCCATGGGGCCCTTGCACATGTTGTGTTTCCTAGGTGTTGGAGAGCTTTCACCCAGTTAACACGGCAACAGGAAGTTTACCAGATCTATTATTCCTCATCTTCCACACAGACACACTAAATTTCAAAATGAAATGACTTGTCCAAGGTCAAATCAAACTTGTGCAGTAAAGAAGATAAAGCCCAGGACTCTTGACGCCCTTAAGCAATGAATCATTCTTCTAAATAAAATATCACATTTTCTACACCCAGGTAAGCAGTTCTCAGCTAAGGAAATGCCAGCCCAAGCAATGCTAGTGAGCTCATATTTCTGAAATGGATCAAATCTTGCAGATGCTGCTAAATTGGAATCAACTAAGCTTGGCTCTGTATGTCTCAAAAATGTGGGCAGCCTGGGACGGGGGCAGGCTGGAGGGGTCAATGGTGGGAAAAGGGGGACAAAGGTAATACTTTCAACCATAAAGAACTATAAAAAAATGTGGGCATCTAAGCTGAATTTTCTTTTGACAATATTTACTTTTTATAAGTAGTAGTATATGCAATTAAATGGGTACATACATAGCTGGTACTGTAATGCAATGATATCTAATGAAAGCAATGAGGATGTGTGCACTTCTAATACAATCGTTCCATCTGTAAAATGCTAACAGAAACCCTGACAAAACAATTCCAGTATCTGTTCTTGTGTTTCCCTGCTTGGGAAGGAGGGCGGTGAGCAGTTTGGACAGAATCTCCCTAGTCACGCCCCACACCCCTGGCTTGATCTCTATCCTTCCTCCAAATCACTCTTCCTAAGCAGCCAGAAGGCTCCTAAACCTTTCCTCAGGTCCTATCATCCCCTGATTAAATCCTTCAGAAACTGGCCACCATCTTCAGAGTAAACATTCAAGCTCCTCCCTGGGCCCTGTGCATCCAGTCCCGGCTCATCCCCCCACCCCCACCCCTCCCTTCTGTCTGCCACCTGCCCCCGGCTCTCCACCATCAGGTCAACCCAGCTGTTTTTTAGCCCCTGACCAGTTCAACCCCTCCCAAGCTCCAGGCCTTTGCGCAATCAGTACTCTCTCCGGAAATCCATTCCCTTGCTCTTTAGTCAGGCATCTCCTCCTCCTCATGGGGCTAAATGTCACCATCCCAGGGCTGCATCCCATTTGCAGGCATTTCTGTATCAGTTTCCATAACTTACTATCTCACTGCCCCCACGAGGTTCCACACGCATCACAGCAGGGAATACGTGCTTGGATACAGTAAGTGCTCAACAAATGTTTTCAGCAAATGAAGGACTGTTCCCCCCGCGACCCTGCAAGACCAGTCAAACACAGAAGGAAGTGTTCTCCTGGGAACACATCCGGATTTTCCTGTTCAACCTCAAGAGTGTGTAAGAACATCCTCAAACTCCAGGGTATATGAAAGCTATCTTGAGAGCTTATTAAAGCACAGGTCCCTGGCCATCACCCCAGGGTTTCAGGTTCTGTGGGTCTGGGCTGGGACCTGAGAATGTGCATCTTTAATAAGCTCCCTGGGAGCTAACGAGTCTGCCTCCGACCACCTGAACATCATTAAGGGGAGGTGGTTTCCCATTTACTTCTCCTGCACCTCTATTCACTTGTGCCCGTTTTACTGCACACAGCAGCATTATCCCTTACAAACACAGCGCGGTTCCCTGGCTGTCATACTGTGGCTTCCCTCCATGTCCACAAACACTCCTGTAGTTGTGAACCCCTGAAAACTCAGGACAGATAAAGCTGAGGGCTTCAGGGGAATAAACACATTTCCTCCGGGAGCTCATGACACTCAAGAAATGTGTCCACGAAAAGCTCCCACATGTTTTCCCACAGTTCTCCTTCCGTAGAAGCTCTCCTGGGAAGAGCTGGCCCGGGAATGGGGCAGAAGGTCATGCTCACTTCCGGAGGGAGCAGATCCCCATTGCCTTCCCTCGGGTGACTTCTAGGCTATCTGTCCCTATGAGCGCGGCTTCTGCCTTGCAGCTGACTCCTCCCACTCCTGTAAGACACGAGGGAAAGCTCGCCAGCCCAGCCTCCTCCCCCCACCCCCCACCCAGCCCCCAGCAGTGAACAGAACACGGACTTGGGTTCAATGGGCCCAGTTCAATTCGGGTTCTTGCTGCAGCACTCTCCTGCTGCACACGTCGTCTCTGGGAACTCTCTTTCTTCGTATATAAAGCATGGGCATGAAGCCACCTGGTGTGCAGGGCAGCAAGAAGTAAACGCACCTGACAAACGGCTGCCACCGTTTTCATGCCCCGGGTGAGCAATGGGAAACGCCACTGAGGTGTCTGCAGCGAGCCCCGAATCGGGTTTATGAGGGAGCCATCAACCTGCCCCAGGGCCGTGGCCTGAATTCAGGCGTGACAACCAGTGTGCAGAAGTGCTTTTATCTAGAAGACACCAGCTATTTCCAAAGGACTGTGATTACTTCTCTTAAAACTGTCAAAAGACCCTAAATTCCTAACAGCTTTATTGAGATATAACTCCCACACTATACAATTCACCCATTTACACGGAACCATTCAATGGTGTTCAGTCTAGTCACAGAGTTGTGCAACCATCACCACCATCTATTTGTAGAGCATCACCCACAAAAGGGGAATTACCCAAAGAGGAAGCCCCGACCCATGAGCAGTCCTCCCTGGGCCCTCCTGGCCCTGCCAGTCCCGGCTGCAGGCAACCACTGATTTGCTTTCTGACTATAGATTTGCCTGTTCAGGAAATTTCCTACAAATGGAATCATACAAGATGTGGTCTTTTGTGTCTGGCTCCCCTCACTTAGCATCATGTTTTCAAGGTCTGTCCATGTTGTAGCGTGTGTCAGCATTTCATTCCTTTCTATTGCCTTGAATGGTCCTGGAATCCTATTTTCTGTTTACTGGATATTGCAAGGTGTTAGACACGGGAGCAAACAGGCGATGCTCCCCTGGAATTTGTGGCATTTAAAGAACCCTGGCTTCTTACAACTTTTGTTTTGAGGTAATTGTAGATACGCATGCAGTTGTAGGAAATGATACAGTGAGATCCTCAGACCCTGCACCCAGGGTCCCCCAGGGGTAACATCCTGCCCGACTTTAGAACAATATCACAACCAGGAGGTCGACAAGACCCTAAGTTTTTAAAAGGCCAGCAAAGCAGTTGGTATATCTGGTCAGCTCTCAAGGGGCCCTTTTTACTTAAAACATAGATGCTAAAAAGTCATCACCACTGTCCCTGTTGTGGAATTGCAGTGGCTGAGTGGGAACCACATTCTGTGGGAACGTCTGCTGTGGGGTTAAGTATGTGGGGTGGGAAAGAAGGGGAAGCCTCACACAGTCACACACAGGGCTGTTCTAGGAACTCCTGTAAGTCAGCACACATACCTCCCTTGCTCCCTGGGCATTCACTCTGTCAGAAGTGCCCATGTCCTGTCTCCCGTTCCAGAATCACCACTGCCTCATTCTGTAGTCCCCCGCTTACCAGCAGCCTCTCCCCTTTCATCTTAGATAAATGAACAGATCTGAATTCAGAGCAAACCATCAAGGAGATGGCAACACACACCACCGCTGGCTTATCTGTGGCCCTCCCACGCTGGCATCTATTCAGCAAAATGCCGGTGACCCATTCAACAGGGAAGGGCTTTGTTGGTGCGAGATAAGAGCCCTGGGGAGCCCGGCCTGCCAGTTGGGATAACATGGTTTTGTTCTGGAAAAAGGCAGGAAAGGAACAGAAAGCACCTGTCCCTGGGAATATGCAGAGAACCTGCAGGAGAGGTGGGTTCAGATGTGCGAGTGTCTGGCCAGTTCTGCCACTTACTCATTGTGTGGCTTTGGACAAGATGTTCAACCTCAGTGGCCTTCAGATTCCTC